GGGCGCTCGCCCGCGCGGCGCTACCTGCGTGGGCGCGGCAACTAGATGAGGGAGAGGCGCGGCAGTCGGAGGACAAACACACACGAGTCGCCCCAGGAGCAGTCCGGGGCAGTGGGGCAAAAAAAAACAAAAAAAGGCGGCGGGCATCAAACTACATCTCTCGTTGCCCCGTCCCCTCCGAACAATTGCCGGCCTATTTCAGGCACCCATCGACAAAAAAAAAAAAAAAAAAAAAAAAAAAAAAATCAAAAAAGGGCCGAGAGTGGGGAAACGCAACGACACACCTCGCGCACCGCGCGCCCAATGCGGGGGAAAACAGGGGAAAGCGTATACTGCGACGTCGGCTGCGGCCGCGCGGGCCCCCATCCAACCGGAAGAGAGGCAGCCAGCCGCACCACCGCCAAGAACACACACACAGAGAGGCAGTGAGGGATACGTATGCTTCGCTGGAAGAGGAAAGAAAAAGAAACTTGAGGTTACATTACTGACAGCAAAAGAAACAGCAACAGGGCCGCGTTCGTGTGTATACTGTTCCCGGACGCACGTACGTGCGCCAAACAAAAAAAATCGATGGGTATATATTTGCCGTTGTGCTCGCATTGCACACGTAAACGCACATGCAGGCGGCACGGGGCACAATTTGGCGGCGCTCTCTGCCGGGGAAACTCTGAGCCCATCCCTGCTGCTGCTCAAAGAGGCGTCGCCACGGCAACGACGACGGCAACGGCGGCCAGCACAAGAGCCCCAACATGAACAGCCACAGCACTGCCATCATTCTTGTTGGGGCCGCCATTGCCATCGGGGCCATAATTATTGTTAGGTCCCTGATTGTCGTTGTCTGTGCCACCAAGTTTGACGCCACTCCTGCCAGCGGGGATGATGGTGCACACCTCCTCGTACTTGGGGCACTTGATCGTGCCACCCGCAAAGTCAACGGACGTGGACGCAGGTGAGAGGAAGCCGCCCTCGGGGCACTCGTGCCACGCATCGTTGCCGAGTTGCTTCACCTGCACCGTGCCCTCCCCGCACCGCACCCGCGCACACACGCCGCTGACGCCCTCCGACTCGCTGCCCTCCGGCCGCTGCTTCACCCGCAGCGAGTCCCCGTCGAGGCACCACGAGCCATGGCCGGTCAGCTACCCGAGGAGAGACGTCACGCTCGCGTCC